TATGAAAAGTGAGCTCTGAGCTCGACTGTCTAATAAAAGCTGAACTGAGCTCCACAGTTTAGAAGCAGAATAACTGAAAGAGTCTCTCCACGTTTTCTGTGTTTTACTGAAGGAGTTCAGAAGGTCAGAATCTGCAGATCTGAGATCATAAACAGACATTCAGGAGCTTTAAGGTCATTTAGAGCTTTAAAAACCAGCAGCAGAGCTTTAAACTCTCTCTAAGAGATCCAGGCGGTCAGTGCAGTGTGTAACGGGGGGATATGAGCTCTCTGTGTTGGGGCTGTGAGGATCCGAGCTGCTGCGTTCTGTACGGGTTCTAGAGGATGGACTGTTTTCTCCAGTAAGAAGATCATTACAGTGATCAACTCTGCTGAACAAACGCAGCTACGAGTTTCTCTGCGTCACTCTGAGAGAGAAAAGACTGGACTTAAAAGCTGCTTTAGTGACTGTTTACATGCAGATTAAACAGAGCTCAGAGTCTAAGATCACACCCAGGCTTCTACTGTATTTTTGGTTTATGAAGATAAAGTGCCAAGATTCTCTTAAAGCAGCATTCTCTGAGTTTCAGTACCAACAATCAGTATTTCAGAATTTTCATGATTTAATTGTACAGCTCCTACAACACAGCACATCTGGTATCACTGTTTATTAACTGATTTCAAAACTATGAAATCTATTAAACTATTTTTTACAGGTTTTTTTATTTTTTATGGTTCATTTTTTACAATGTTTCTTATTTAATTTAACTCCTTAAACTCCCAGGCTTATAACATACTAAGGCTTATTATCCAGTAACTACAGGGACTTTAGTGCAAACTGGCTGAGCTATTCTGAGGTTATAGAAGGGTGTAATAAACACTGGGCCTGCTGTTGAGCCCAAAGGGGTTAATTTAAATGTCATTTTTATAATCAAGCTCAGAATTTGGCATAATGGTATGAGTCCATTTTCCTGGCACACATCAGGGCCAACCGATACCCACTGAAGAACATCTGAACGTTGCTGCATCCCTTTATGGCTGCAGTTTATCCACAGTCAGATAAACACATCCAGCCTGACAGTATTCCATGTCACAAGGCACTCCTCATCAAGTGTGATTCCAGGTTCATCATAGTGAATTTTCAGATTCACTGGCTGGCACAGTCCCTGGATCTCAACCCTATCCGTCTTTTAGATGATGAGGTTGGAAAGGCTGGTGTTTTCTAACACACTAATCAAGCAGCTGATTAGGAAATCATTTAATGGAGAATATTGAATAAAATGTGCATTTTTATTTGACTTCTTTTGGTTAACCAAATAAATTAAATCAAAGAATAATCAAGTAAGCAAATAAAAAGGGTATGCTAACGAGCTACAGAATTGAAATGAAGTGATCTGTATCAGCCTGATAGGGGTGCAAATAGATTTTGCTGTGAAATCACTTAACATTCACTTCAAAGGTGAAGAAAACCTATATTTAACGTGTTAAGCCAGATATACACTGTGATTTTAGCCTGTTTAGCCCAATTTGGTCAAAGCTGACTGAATTTCATGATTAGGCCAAATTTCAGCTTCATTGCCATGCAGTGTGAGAGGGGCAGCGATGCCCAGACTGAGTAGTCGGATAATCATCTTGATTTCTGACGTCAGAAATTTTGGTTGCTTGTCTCACAGTTTGAGCAGATCTCATAAACTGATTTCTCAAAGTCGCACTAAAACCAATCACACCCACCTACACGGAGGAAAAACAGTCGACATTTGTGACACCAACGTCAGTATATGCCGACTTTGCTGTGTTTGACTCAGTTGAACTGCGAGGCATAAATAAATAAATATAGTGATATGATAAAATCTGATGGTGCAGAAAGTACATGTTTCAGTCTCCTGAGGCAGGTGCACTGGGAGATTTAGGCCCAGTCCCGTTTCTTATTTTTTCCCCTACACCTTGTTTTTGAGTGTCTCCTTGTTCCTTGGAACTGAGTTACAGGGTAGTGGTTGAAATGAGACCCTCAAATAAAAAGAGCATCACTTCATTAACAGCTACCAGCGCTGCTCTGTAGGCGACCCTGCCAGTCTGCAGTGACAGCAGAGGAGGGTAAAGTTCAGCTCCTCACTGCTGGGCTTTAGTTACATTTAGGGCATCATATGATCTTCAAAGGGGGGGGCAATTATTTATTATCACCCACCTCTAATTCTTCAGTGAAATGAAGCTGAAGTCAGATATTCACCAGCTTCTTGTTTGAATTTCTGCCAGAGGTACCAGGAAATTTAGCTAGCTACTAAGACATCAGCACTAATATTGATGTTTTTATGGATATTATGAAGAAAAGGACCATAATACACTGAAAAAACATTAAACTAAGATAAAATTGTAATTGATAACAGAGAACAGTCTCACATTTATTTACATTATCATCTTGCTGATTTTTCTTTTTTCTCACAACACTCTCTCAACAAGAATGAAGACACCCTACCCCTAGACGTGAATGCACAAAATGGAGGGGTAGATACCAGGTGGCCCCACCATGCTGAGCTCCTTGACAGAGGAGTGTAACATGGCTGCCCTTTTAGTTAACACCTGCTGTGACTGCCATCTCATGGAACGGGTCCCTACTAGTATCCTCACCAATGATACTTGGTGGTCTGGCTGCTTTACCAAGGACATCTCTCTAGCTGTGGAAAGGAGGGGTGGATCTAGGTCAGTTTTAGGGTCTCACTGATCAGTGGGGTCAGACCACCGGGGTCAAAGCACTCAAAGTGGGCAGAGCACAAGGCTTTCAGAGGTAAAGAGCAGCTTTAGGATTTCACATAATTCTCATATGGACCCTCTAGTAAGGGTCACCATGGGTTCACCACCTCCACTGAACAGCGGTCTCATTCACCAGCACCTCCACTCACATCACTGCAATCAGATTTTAAGTGTTTATATTTATTTAACTTTTTTGTACCAGTGCATATTTAAATATTTGCCTTGCAGTCAGATCTTTCCCACTACATGACAAAACGGATAAAGGAGGAAGGTTAGCATGTGCTTTCTGCATTTATTACCCATTTCTTGTTTTTGTACTTGTTTTTTTTCTCTTTTGTCCCCACCTTCAACCTGTTTGTGCTCGTGTTCAAAGCTTCGAGGAGTGTATAAGAACAAATGACACAGATGCATCAAAATTCAGAGACACACTGAGCTTAATATGAACCAGAACAGCACTTTCATACTTACGTGATTACAATGGGTATATATGACTAACCAGGGAAATGTGCTTTGAATCATACATACAGATTAAGGAAGCTGCAGCTAAAAGGTCACACACATCAGGAAAGTAGATTATAACAAGGAGTTTCCTAAAAAGGAGAATTTATTTTTTGTAGACGAAGCTGTTCTGCAAAGCACATCAGACTTACAATCATAACCACCTGTGTTTGAAACTTCCCTTAATTTCCCTCATCACAGCATGTTCTCAAAATATGTTTGTACTTACTGTGTATATGTATTGTCTGTTATCTCATCAGTACCTGTGCACTGTCTCAATGGTTACGCATCAGAAAAGCAGCCCGAATGTGCTGTTATTTTGTGCCCACTCAGACCTGCGGCCTATCTGGATTCAAGTGCCATAAAATCTGAAGAACTAGTCCTAATTATATTTTTATTTTTTTATTTGATTTTTAATTATCCTAATTTAAATTTTGTTATTTTTTTCCTTTTTCAAATATATTGTTTTAATCTTTTTTATTTCTATGCTCCTTTACTTTATAAATGACTCATTTATTTTTTCATTTGCACTTTGAATGAGAGCAGTGTATGAAATATGCTATATAAATAAATTTGCCTTGCCCCTTTGTGGATATAATGACAATAAAGTTGAACAGAACTCAAGAGGAGACACTTGTGAGATGATTTGCTCTTCATCTTGGCAGTTAGTCAGAGTACCTGGTTGCAGGTGAAAGAGGCAGTAAGTTTGCATTTACATGGTTCTCAGCTGACCTCCTAGCCAGCAAGGATTAGACTCGTCCCTCCGCTCAGCTGGGTGGTGAGCGACTGCAGTGCCTGGCTCTGAAAACTGCAGCCGAGAGTCCATAATGGCAAATGTCAATTGGATGTTGGTGGTGCAGCATCACACGAAGTCAACATTTCATTGTTGTCTAGGATGAGCTACAGAGATGTTTCTACAGAGATCTCTTACTTGGTTTTGTGCTTTCCTTCATCTAACACGTCTGATTCGATTCATTAACTCAGAGAAAAATGTTCAGAGCGTAGGATCATCAGGACTGAGCCACTGAACTAGACCAGCCTTCCCACCTAAATAACGCAAGACCACAGATGGCTGTAGGTGTTTTCCTTAATAAAGAAACCTATAAATACACAAATAACACCACAGAAACAACAAACACACCACAGAAACAATTGAAAAAGATATGTTTTCTTGTCTTTTCAAGAGATCTTTGGCAAATGGCAAGTGAAAACCTCACTAATCAAGTCAAAATATAATCATTTATGACTAGGATACTGTTGTAAAATTAGAAGATTGTTACACAATTTCCTGGTGTTTTTATATGTTGTATTTCACTCTCAGATCATTTTTCATGTTTCAAGAAGTTTGAAGAAAGTTGTGAAGAAAGCTCAGGAAACAAAATGACCTGCCAATGAAATTTTCACAAAATAAAATGATTTAAATTAAGTAAAGAAAACATACAGAAGTGGGTTGAACAATCTTATTTTCTTATAGTTAGAAATATGGAGTAGATTTAAGATTGTTAAATTAGCAAGATATCACGTTTTGCAGTGCAAGTAAAATAGAAGCTTACTATCCATAAAAGCATAAATTCAATGAGTTGTAAAATATATTTTGATTCAAACACAGACAAATTAATATCAACATTTTCAAAACAACATATTAAAAGAAATTAAAATACATTTTTTGAAATACAACCAGCGCAACACATTCCATTCTATTTGAATACACTGATAATATTTACTACAGTCAAATGATTTAAAAACTACATGTGATGAATAAAGGCAGGTTCCTGTTTATCCACCATGAGTCATGGGACTAAAATGATGCATCTTCCTTTTCCAAATCAGTTTCTTAATGCTATTCCAAATTTCCTGCAGTTTCAGTCCATATATAATTGGATTAATTAGAGGAGGGATGACAAAATTTTCAACTGACATTATCATGGTGACAATATGAGGCATTTTTCCTTCTAATCTGTTATTGATCACTTCAAAACATGAAGTGACAGTAAAACTGGTGAAAATGAAGAGGTGCGGGAAGCAGGTCTGTAGAGCTTTTCTTCTACAATCTTTTGAACTCCTTAAACAGACTTCAAGTATTCCAACATATGACAAAATGACAAAGATCACTGGTGGAAATACAGCAACGCAAAAAATAACCATCCCATAAAACGTCTTCACAGATGTGTCTCCACAGCTCAATTTAACAATCGCACCAGTATTACAGTAAATTCTATTTATCTTAAAGTCGCACAGCTTCAGTTGATATTTTAGTATCATCCCAACACCAGTTTCACAGGAAGGCACAAACCAGCAGCAAAATAAGAGCTTTTTAACGGTGGACATTTTTACAAGAGCTGCATATTGTAATGGTTTACATATGGACACATATCTGTCATAGGCCATAGCTGATAACAGTGCGAACTCTGCTGCAGCATATATGTGAATAAAAAATGACTGAAACAGACAGTCTTCATAAGAGGCACCTTGTCTTTCAGACAGTAAATCACTCAGCAGTTTAGGGTAAAGAGCAGTCGTCCCAAAGAGAGAATTGCAAAGTAAAGCAGCAATGAAAATGTACATCGGCTCATGGAGACACTTGTTTTTGCATATGATAAAAATAACAACAGAATTAAAACAAATAGTCAGCAGGTAGACTATAAGACATGCAATAAAGTAAACATATCTGTATTTCTCCAGCTCCACATGTCCTTCCAGAGTTAAGTAAGTCATATTAGTAAAATAATCCATGATTTTCTTTAAAGTAATCAGTGAAGACTTGGTGAGCTGAATCTGAGAGTGAGCACACCAGCTGTTTTGTGGTGGTCAGTCAGACACCATCAAAAAGAATCATAGGAGTGAAGATGTGGCTGTGAAGTCCATCTGTGGTGCACAAAGCAGCATTGAGTCTGTTTATATTCTGGTTCTGTGTGCCTCAGTGTATTACAGACAGACTGACAGACCAACAAGCCCAGCCCTCCTTCACTCAGCAAAGTTACTAAGTAGTGCTGGAACCACACAGACCATCAACAAAACAACAAACGCTGGGAGATTAAAACATCACGACTACAGTTCTTAAAACACAGCGCACTTATTACCAACTCATACTGTCAACTTATTCGCTGCCCTCGCCGAGAAAACAGGCTCTATGATACAATGAGAGGAAACACATGTTCAGACATGTCTGTTTTAGACATTTGATCATTTGTTTGTTTGTTCTTTCTATTTAAGAATGTACCAAACAGTTTACTGGGCACACCTAAGGTTTTTGTTGGGCTTTGTATGAGAAGCTCCACCCCCTGATGTAGCTTTTTTAATTCTAGGTAATAATAGTGTTGTAGTAGTCGCGATGGTTCATAGTATGAGAGAAGTTCACTCAGATACTGAGTCCGTTCAGAGCTTTAGGTGCTGGACAGATGAAGTCTTCCTAGGACGACCACTGGCATGACCCCTACTGCTCTCACCTGGAAGGCTCCTGCAACATCCTCTAGAGTGAGGGGCTGGCTTATCAAGATGCAGAAGGTGGACCTCCACCACCAGATCAGCATCCAGGCAGGCATCTTGGGCAGCTACCCAGCTACCTTTCTCAGGGCCATTTCCCTCCTAGTCCACCAGATACTATAGACAACTTCCTCATTGCCTGGAGTCCAGCAACCTATGACTGCAGCTTCAATGACCACTGTTGGCGGCAGCTGCTCATTGGACATGGCTTTGTCCAGCACACCTGGAACAACAGGCTTAAGCAGGGAGACATGAAACGAGTGTTAATACTGTCTGGGGAAATCAAGGTTATACGTAACTTCATAAACTGTTTCCACAACCTTGAATGGACCAATATATTTTGGCAATAGTTTCCTACAGCCCTTCTCAAACCTGATATCCAAAGTCGACAGCCACTCCTCAGAACCCGTTCAATGTGTTGATGCATTGAAGCCCAGAATTTTTCGCTTCTCTTCATCCAGTCACCCACAGCTGGAACACTGGTGTTAACAGCAACTCAGGGCACTAGTTGGGGTTGATACCCTAGCATGGACCGAAAAGAAAGTTCTGAGCCATCTTGGCCCAAGATAAGAATTGAGCCCAGTCAGACTGGTTGTCATGGCAGTATATTCTGAGAAACATGCCTAATTCTTGATTTACCCTTTCACATTGTCTATTAGACGGGGAAGGATATCCAGAAGTTAGACTTACATTAACACCAAGATGTTCAAAGAAGGCAGACCATACAGAGGAAGTAAACTGAAGAACTTGGTTAAACAATGCTTCTGCAGTTTTTAAAAACCTGAGGGTAATTTAGTAAACAGGATGAATCTTACAGTATCAACTATTGTCATGATAGGGAAGTAGATCAGTTACAAAATCAATGGTTATATGAGACAAGGACAAACATCAACAGGCAGCGGAACCAATTTCCAAGCGAGCAAAGCCTTTGGAGTCTTACATTCAGAAGAGCTAATGCAGGATAACACAAAATGGTGAACATCGGCTAACATACTTTCCCGCCAATATTGAGTGTTCAGTAGCTGTTGGGTATGTCTTTCCGTAGGGTGATAATGGCAATAATGTTCTTAGGTATATCAAGGTTTTCTATGTTGCTTCCAAAATTGCGTGACAAGAGATCCATTTTAGTGTCGCAGGAAGGTCTATAAGTAATGGTAAACTGAAAAAGGGAGAAGAACAAAGACCAACGAGCTTGGCGAGGGTTGATCCGTTTTGTGTTTCATAAATATTTAAGATTCTTGTGGTCAGTTAGAATGAAGAAAGGGTGTTTAGCCCCCTCAAGCCAGTGTCGCCATTCCTCTAAAGGTAATTTTATTGCTAGAAGCTCCCTCTTTCCAATACTATAATTGCTTTCTGCATATGTTAGTACATGGGGGAAAAAAATGCAACCATATGAAGCTGACCAGTATTACCAGAGGCTTGGGAATGAACAGCTCCCTCTCCTTATTTAAGTCCGAAGCTTAAATAAATGTTTGTTTATTTTAAATGTTTATTTATTTTATATGTTTATTTTTATTATATTATAAATGGTGTTTCTAGATCAGGGTGAACCAGAATAGGTGCAGAACTGTACGCCTTTTTCACTTTTTGGAAAGCTATCTCAGCTTGTAGATTCCACACTAGAGATTTAGGCGCAGCCTTTAGAATTGAAGTCAGAGGGGCAGTTAAAGTACTATAGTTTCTGATAAAAAATGATGGTAGAAAGTGTAAATTCATAGAAATTGCTTAAGCTCTTTAATGGTGATGGGAACAGGCCAGTTATTAACAGCACCAACCTTGGGATCATCCATAATCACACCTTCTGGGCTGATAATGTGACCAAAAAATGAAATTCTTTGAACATTAAATTCATATTTCTCCCCTTTGATGTACAACTAATTCTCCAAACGTCTCTGGATTACCTGGCAAACGTGCTGAATGTTGGTCTCGAAATTGGAGGAATAAATTAGAATGTCATCTAAATAGGCGACTGCAAATTTTCCAAGCATGTCTCTGAGTACATCCTTCCATGTACACAGATGGAATGGAATAACAATGAAAGCCTCTTGACTAATGAAAGACTGAAAGACAGAGGGTTTGTGGAGAAAGTCTTCCACTCATCACCCTCCTTTATGCAGATAAGCTCATATGCACTACCAAAATCAAGTTCAGTGAATATCTTAGCTCACCTGAGTTGTTCTGGAGCTGCTGGTCCCACAGGACATATCAAGGTCCCTGTCTAAAGTTACCACCCACCACAGAGCTGGAAACAGCTTTGATGTCATCTTTTCAAGGACCTATACTACATCCTGTCTCAGTCACACCATCTCATTTATGTGTAATTACTCTAATTGGCCTGATGGTGGCTTGATAGAACAACATTGTATGTTTTGACACATATCTTCTGAACCATGAAGCCTACAGTCAATATTCTTGTTTTGACATATTCTCTGGTTTATTCCACATAAATGCCTCCACCTCCTGACATTTTTAAATGATTGGAACATTTTTATAATAGTCTGAAGTTTCTCAAGGTATCGGCACAAAATTAGTCCCAAAATGTACACAGAAGTCTGGAGGTCAAGTATTATTTAAAAAATGTGGATACTTCTTGACTCTGTCTCAAGGTCTCATCTCTAAATTGTCCAAGTTTGCATGTCTGACCGAAAATAAATATGTGACACTAGTAGGAGTTTCCATGCAGAAATCTAAAATGCACTGGAGCTACTTTGTGGAGCACACCACGCTAAAAAGGAAAAGGGTGGAAGACTCCTGCCTGCTCTGTAACCTCTAGGAGTATGATATCATGCCTTATTGTCAGCGTAATGGTCTGTCTCTGTTCCAGTCCTTTGTCAATTAGGTCATCTGTAACGTTTAACAAACTTGTAGTTGTCTACATTGACAATACCCTGATCTATTCCACCTGCCTTGAGGAGCCCCTACATCACATAAGGAATGTGTTGTGAAAGCTCCTGGAATATAGGTTTTATGTGAAGCAAAGTGTCAGATTCATATAACAACTTTGTCTTTGTTTTTTTCTAGGCTGTCATGCCCTTGGAGAGTTATTCTTAGAGGCACACAAGGAGGCCCAAGAGTCTGAACCAAGAAATTGATGGGTACCTCTGTACTTATTGTGGGGACCAGCAGGGGGACTAGTTTGGCTCAGCTGGATTAGGCCCTCCTGGTCACCGACACACCACTGCTGTGCTGCAGGCTTGTCAATAGTGGTGGGTCAGAGTGTAGGTGATATAGACTGACTAACACATCTAAAAACACACATAAGTGATCAGCTTCTGATACAGGGTCAAATATCTGATATCATATGCAATCAGTTGCTGGTACAATGTAATTGCATATACATGTCACATCTCCCTCTGAAGTATCTGAGAAATCATACAGATCAGATAAATATTATATATCAATGTTGCAATGCCAGTTTCTAGCCTGTTTCAAATTCCTCCACAGCACTTCAATGGGACTTAGTTCTGGGCTTTGACTAGGCCATCTTGCACCCCTCCATTTCACCCTTTGGTGATACCATACACTTCAATAACAAATAGCTAACTAGATGTCTGAGGTTTATGTATTTGACAGGTTCCTCCAAGTAATTTTCTTAGTACCTGATTGGGTGTATCTAACATCAATTTCAACATTTTAGTAGTGATATATGTAAGGCTCTGCTTAGTTTTCCCACATAGGAAAAATGCATTCTGTTTATTTCCGTTAAAACAATTTGAAGTGTCACTTTTTAAATAATATTATCTCCATAAAAATTGATATCTGTATGTGCAAATGTGTTGAAAAAGTTTAAACTTTTAATGGAGCATACATATTTCTTCACATGACTGTATACTTGTACATTTTGAATTTGGAAGTCTAAGGGCTTATAACTGATTTGTTTCATCAAACTGACAATAAAAGGCCACTGATGTGTGAAGGATATTCCTATCCAGTGTATTCTATATTTATTTACTTAAAAATGCAGTTTGAGACAAAACAAAACACAGAATTTTCTGTTTCATAAAATAATTGTGTCAACAGCACTGAGACATCATGTTGTTAGAGGAGAGGATTAAATGCCAGAAATAGACAATATTAGCCTCGTAACTAAAGGTTTAACATGTGCCAATATTGTAGTGTTAAGCATTCATTAAATTATTAATTTGTTAACCACAACTGCTTTAAGTGTTAAATTATTTAGCCTAATATTTGATATTTTACATAGCTCTAAAAATGATTACAGAGCTATGAAT